GATTAGCATGTACCTGTAGTGTAGTATAGTCCCTAGAGCTTTGTATCTTCCCTTAGTTTTGTCAGGGAATATATTGCTTTTTATTGTCAAATTTTCATGCAAATAGAGCGAAAATTCAATGGAAAATGTGTAATTTATTCAAACGGGGACTGCCGACGTATTCAAACCCCGCTGCAGAACATCTCGGGAATATGGAAAGACCAGCCCGTTACCCGATCTCGTTAGCTAACCGTTAGAGCTTGCCTAACGGTGCACTGATGTTATTTACTTATCTTTCTGACAGTTAGGTAACGAGGAGACGCGCGTCACGTACCGCGCAGTGAACTGTTCGGTAACGGCATCAACTCATTTATACCTCACGGCGCGCCGGCGGTGTAGGCAGATGACCATTGTTCTGGCGGCGGATACGGATTGCAGCCGTCGCGGAGCTAGAAGACAGTAGACGGTCTGACGCTGGTCCGCAAGAGCAAGGACGGATGTCAGGCAGCCTTTTGCCTGTACCTCGGTAAATATGGCCGTTAAACAAGATGCGCGTCGCTATGGTACACGATCACATGGTAGTGTAAGCGCTCTTTCGTGCTCATGACGAGCACGTCTGTGAGCCTGAGAGTCTCATAAACGGAAGATAAGCCTGAAAGATAGTTTGTGACATACGAAAACGTTCGTTCGTCAAATTGAGTAAACGCTGACACGCGGGTGAGATTATCAGCGCGTTGCGCTGCGAAAGACGATCCCGAGTCAAGATCAGTCGAAGAGCCTATTGAGACGGGACTCGTGAGGGTGTCGAATGACGACGGCCATCTTTGAGCTCGGAAAATCCAGGTCTCGAGGACGTCGACTGTACAGTACGACTCACATGGAGTCCTCGAAAAGCGCGGAAGGTCGGGACGAAGGTGAGCGAGTATCCAGTCCGCTGGGATCCACGTGCAGTCCTGCCATTGAAAGAATTTGCATTCACCTTAATGAAGGAGACCATTGTGGCGGTAAGAATCGCTGTTGAGTGGCTTGAGGCTTATTCCTGGGTTCTCCCGTGCTCCGTCTTCAGAACATAGCATTCTGTCACGACGTGAGTCTGGCTCGGCACCGATAGCGTGACTAGCACATCATACAAGACAAGAGAAAGGCACGGTGGGGATCTTCGCTATGTGAGCTGGAGTCTGAGAGATCACAAGCAACGGCTACTATCTCTGGTATTGTATGTCACTCTATCGGAGAAGAGTCTACACCAAAGCTGATACAGGTGAGCAAAAGAGCGCCTTCCAAAGCATGCAGAAGTAGAACGTACCAGGGTTGTATGGATAGAGCGGACATAGCGATCTAGAAAGCCCTCTCTTGGGTAGGATCGTGCACCTCGTCGACCTTATGACAGGTGGCACATGAGAACCGCATGAGGGGTCTCTCTCAGCTGAGGAAGAAGACGATGATACAGATTGGGATGAAGCGTAGGCAGCGTGTTTGCAGGCGGTTATGCCGGAACTCAGAACCTTGCCGGCGGTGTGCTCGAGGAGCAGAGAAAGGGAAGGCAGCTCGTGTAGCAGTAAGCTCTCGAACCCTCCGGTCGAGTACTGAATTCGTCGGGCATGTCTCAATCGCTACGAAGTGTGCGATGAGCGTCACAGACAACCGCCCGAACCCATAGGCGAAGATGTCCGAGTGCAACAACCGTTTGTTGATTCTTCCTTTTGTCATGAGAGGCCCCCCGAGGCTTTCGTAACAGGCTCAAACAGCATCAAGAATGTGCAAAGACAGTGGTAGTGCTCACCGCGCCTTTCGTGCCATGGGCCTCGTGGGATACCTTCGTATCGCGGGCTACCTTCTTGTGTTCTGCCAACATTTTCCATACCAACCACTGCGCGCCGCCCAGCTAACTTACTCACTAGACCTCACGGCAATGATGGCCTTCTCTGCTAGCTATTCAGCACGATTTCATGAGCATCAACAGTCGAATGCCGAAGACAGTCTGAACCATCAACGATCGTTGCGAGATCACTGGGTCCGGCGAGGAGTGTCGGCGCGCGGGGAGATCTGGAGCGCAAATTTCGAACAGAGACTTGAGCAGGAGGGCTTCACCTTGCATCACAACATGTGGGATTGCGAGCAGACCGTCGAAAATATCGGGCAGGACGAGGAGAGCGAGGACGAAGGCCTGGGCGCGTCAGACCAGGCCTCAACCAGTTCCCACGCGTCTCACAGCGCAAAACCCGTGGCTGCAGTTCTTTCGTTCCCACCACCACCATTACTACCGTCACCGTCGAGTTCAAGCAGGATGGCGATCAAGGCCCCGTTCTGGATATCTGCCTGGTGCGTATGACCTAATTGAAGAGCGAGTCATTGTTTCTAAAGGCCTGGTAGGTTTATCCTCACTGTCCCTGTCATCTTCTGGGATGCTAGTTACTGTTTCATGAGGTTTGTCCGATGTTTATATATTGGATGGCATTCCCGTTCACATTCACCAGACCACGCTCGATGCGTGGAGGAGACCTGCATTGGATCTGGTCGCCGTATGCTATGTACCAGGACGTTGATTATGTACATCCCCCGTCGCCTTTACGCGTCCATGCACTTTCTCACGTGTCATACCTACAGGTCTATGGCCTGCGTGCTTTTGAGAATCAAGAAGGCTTCACTAATGCGCAATGTAAGCCTGCATTTGGTCGTGTACTCGCAGTGTGACTGATGAAGCTCTACCCCAGCGTTTATGAACGTCGCCGAGAATATACTGAACATCTTATACTTATATCTCGCGCACGTTCAGGGATCCCCTATCGCTCCGCTTATTGGTTTCACCAGTATTGTCATGACTTTGTCGAAGACAATTCTCTATTGGCTTAACGAATACTTCTGTGGGTGGTGTTCGATTGGGCACAACGACTTTGCCACGTTGTTCCTGTACTGGATTATACCCAACGGGTAAGTGATAGCTATCAGCCCTCTTTTAGGTTACTGATTTTGGCTCACAGCATATGGCTGGTATTCCCTACTGTAATTCTTTCCCACTTTGGTCTGAGTATCGCCAGTACTCTTCGCCTTGCCGCGAAGGTTGACAAGAAGAAGGCGCAATAGTTGCTGCTCAACATTGGACAACGTTTTGTTCTGCTAAATCTTGAAAATTATATCTACTGGCATTTTTGTATACTGTAGGGGAATGTAGCCACCGAGGGCGAAGCGTGACGCTTTACGACGGGCAACCGGTCATGTGTGATTTGTGATCTAAGGCCTAATAAGAAACTATCGTCAGGCGGCGGCGCCGCGGGTGCAACTTGCGCAGAAACTAGCAAACAACTGGCTGTGACACGTGATGTTGCTGCCATACAGTACTCTCGCATAGTGCTCACCAATTGAGATTACATACGAAATTTGAGGATATGTATGCATTAGAATTGCGTACAGCGTATACGGACGCCGTAAGTTATGATATGCATAATCTTACGCGTATTTAATTTTAAGCAATCATATTTAATCATATGTAATGAGATTCAGGCGGTGTCGGCCTCCGAGGCGAAGGTAGAATACTTAGGTAGCTAAGCATCGAATCACCGACACAGCTGTACATTACTGAACACATTCTCAAGGTGACACACTACATCTGCACGCTCACCTCACCGCCGAAGTGGTCGGGCTCAAAGTACCCCGAAATTTCGTGTAGCATCCGGAAGTCGGGCTTGCCATCGATGCGCAGCGGGAGCGGCCACGGCCCGGACAGGTCGAACAAGAACGCGCCCCCGCCGAGGATGTGCATGTCCGAGACGTGGATCGGGTGCACGTCCTGATGCTCGTGCACGGCGCCGACGCTTGCGTGTGAGTCGGTGTGACCGCCTCGCCGGCGCGTCAAAGAGTGGCGGCAGATGCACAGACGCGAGCGGGGGTTTATAGAGAGCGCGGACGCCATGCTGCCGCTGCCGGAGCTCTTCGTGGACGACGGCATGCTGTGCACGACGCCGGCGTTGTCGGGTGCGATGAGATGTGTCCTGCCGCAGAGCCGATCGAGCTCGCACGCGGCGGGGTCCGTGCGCCCGGTGCTGCAGCTTCCGGACGATGTCCTG